GACTAACATCGATGATTTCCTAGTTTGTTGCTAGCGACATTACTCTTCCTTGTTAACCGCGTTATGTAACAATTATTTTAATTGGTCAATATCGGGAAATAGACAAATGGATATAACTGTACAATCGGCATTTACAGAACAGCATGCTCGAAGTATTAATTTACGACGACATATTGCTAGAAAAAAGGGAAAATAAACGCAGTTAGAAAGAAGAGAAAAGAAAAAATAAGCATAAAAACATGCTTGATAGATTTAACGCAAATTGAACAAAGGGCGGAAATGGTTGATATATGACGATGTAAAAAACGAAATGCGCTGTTCCTCCCCTATGAGTTTCTACGACAGTGCTGGTAAAAATGTTGAAAAAACACGAGCATTTAAGAAATAATACATTTATAATTGGATGTTAAATTTTTCGTTTTACTGCTATAGAAGATTCTGAATTATCATACGTTTATTTCGACGGGAAGTCGACATCCTGTGAATCCAGATCAGGAGGATAGACTTACAGGGTGACCTGTTAAACTAAAATAAACTGATGCTGTATAACAGAGAATGAGTTTATTTAAAGATTATTGAAATAAAGGGGAAATGTTGTTAAATACCCTGCTTGTTTTCATATTGCTGTAAATGTTTGGGTCTGACAGATTATTTGTTGGTCTGACAAAATTCAAAAGTTTGTTAGACCGAATTTCTGACACTTTTTTCAAACTTTCAGGAAGTTTGTTACCTCCTTCATGACTGTGTGAATTATATTGCTGACTTTAAACCACTTGTCACTCATTGCCAAACAGGAACATCAAATGCATGCTTTTGGGAAAGTTTTCCACTTACACATCCGCCGCCATTAAACCTAATTAATCACTTTATTTCCTTAATAGCCTAATGTCCCTCAAAGCTGCATGTCTCCATACGCGCTAAAGTATTTCAAGAGAATCAAATTTGAGATTCTTTTTAAAGATTTTAGAAAAGATATATGGATTCAATATTCGTGTAATAATTTACATGTTAAATGTGATTAAAAACTGATCTTGCAGTATTTTTCTGAATGTTTCTACTGTGTGACTAATAAGTATTTTTTTTTTTGCATAATTATGTGGATTTTTTTGGTATTGCAAGTGCCGGTTGCAATGTGTAAACTACTTAGTTCACCTTACAAACTTTTAGTTTTAAATGCATTCTCAAAATTATCATGAAGTATGAATCTTGAGGCATGCTACTTTGATGTCAATACAAGTGTAAGTGCTTGATATGCTGATAAGAAACGTACGTCATTGCGGTAAGTTTCTTACAAATTGCGAATATTCTTTATGTAAATACAGTAGAACTTTTGTAAGTCAACATGAAGGTACTTGCGTGAAAATTTTGAGACATCGGAATTACGACTTATGAATCGATCTCAATTTAATGACAATCTTTCGAGCCTTTGACATGATTTACAAGGAAGTTACAAAATGCGTAATAAAAGGAAAGGGCGATAACATAATCAGCATATAGTAAATAAATATATCTCGGACACCGGGTCACGGAATTTCTCAATTACTACCTAGTACTACAGCAATTCAAATGTTATCAATAAAAGCATTTTATCACAAATGTTAAGGCTGTTACAAGACACGGTTTGTAATTAACACATGTCATACAGTTGATTGGAAAATATCTTTGCGGTCAGAAAAGGTGTGAAAAGTGTCTTGAGGTCGAAGTTGTCAAAATGACCGAAGGACTTCGAATAAATTGTGGTAAATTGTACTTGATTTATCATATACCGACCACGAAAATACTTCGACACATCGAACAATTCGACACATGAAATTACGACAGTCACTCTTATTCGACTCACTTATGGTTTTTATAAGGAAAATATGAAGGGGAATGCATGTTACTTCGACACATCGAGAAAATCGACTCATAGAAGTTTTACTGTACATAAAGGGAGTTGATGAGTTATTGTAATGGTATTTTATGTTTGGGTCTTCATTTCTTTTCAAAAGCAAACAGCTCGGATAGAAATTCCAGGCATGTTCTGTCTACACCACAATAGACGGTCGTAATATATCCTAAGGACTGCCGTTAACATCTAGCTGTTAGCGAAGCACTTGTTAAACTCATTAAATACAAATATATTAGATCTTTTAATTAAATCGTAATGTCAACAATTTTTCAACGTGTTCTCACGCTCGAGCTTGCCAACGATTACCCTTCATATCTTAGTTGTTTTTTCTCGTCTTTTTCCTATTTACTTGATGGCATGATTTTTTTTCTTCAGTCATATGGAATCGGAGTAAACCGGCGGTATTAAAGCTTCACGCCTAGAGATTTACGAAACTTCCAAACTCAAGTATCAAATAAAGTGATATCAAATCTTCATATATGCACTTACAAATCTAATGTTGTTTATTTTAAATGTAATTTTAGCAATGAGCTAAGAAAAATTAGAAACGGGTAGCAAAGAAAAAGGTAGAAACGGGATATGCAATCAAGGTAGAAACGGGGTATGGATAAAAAATTTAAATTGAGGTAGCAAACAAAAGGACAGAAACGGGATATGAATAAAAAAAGTAAAACGGTGTAGCAAACAAAAAGGTAAAACCGGAGTATGAAAAAAATGTAAAAACAAGGTAGCAAACAAAAAGGTAAAAACGGGATATGCAATCAAGAAGGTAGAAACGGGATATGCATAAAAAAGTAGAAAGGAGGTAGCAAACAAATAGGTAGAAACGGGGTACGCATAAAAAAATGTAGATACGGGGTAGCAAAAGACAAAAAGGTAGAAACGGGATATAATAAAAAAGGAGAAACGGGGTAGCATAAGGCAAAATGTAGAACGGGATATAAATTTTTAAAAAAGTACAAACGGAGTAGAAAACAAAAAGCTAGAAACGGGGTATGGATAAAAAGGTAGAAATCAGGTAGCAATCAAAAAGGGAAGAAACGGGGTATGCATCACAAAAGTAGAAAGGAGGTAGCAAACAAAAGGTAGAAACGAAGTATGCATCAATAAAGTAGAAACGGGGTAGCAGACAAAAAGGTAGAAAAGGGGTATGAATTAACAAACAGTAGAATTGAGGTAGCAAACAAAAAGGTAGATACGGGATATGCATCAAAAAAGTAAAAAGGAGGAAGCCAAAAACAAGGTAAAAACGGGGTATTAAACAAAAACAGTAGAAACGGGGTAGAATTGTGTAATTAAATTGAAGTAGCAGCCAGGTAACAGCAGTAGTAAAATAGCAGTAGTAGTAAATATTGTAGAACTATTTACGAGTATCTAACAAAGTGACTTTATCTTGTCTTAAGCACTTATCAATATAATAATAATATGTAATTTTATATTATACATAAAGTTCAAGGCTTTAACTGTACTTGCTTTCATTTCTAAAAAAGGCCAGACATACGAAAATGGTTCAAGGGTTTAACTGAACTTGCTTTCATTTCTTACAAGAAAATACATACGGAAAATGTGCCGTGAGAAACGCAGTAAATTAATATGTCTTGGCTTATTTATGTTTCAGGATAGTTGGTTCTTTACAATTAAGATTCCGGTATACAAAGTCTTCAAGGCCATAAAAATAGCCGTAATATATTGATTTTGATTAAATATTTAGCATGTGCTACATATCCTGTTATTCTAACTTTTTATCTGTAATTGAGAGCAGATTGCCAGAATTCAAAGGGTAGTTAAAAAAGTAAGTATCCTTAGATACTAACCCTTTTTTCTGGCCTTCCCGTTTGAAAGCTTCAAATATGATTATTGACAATCAAGGATGTGTTCCGAAAGTTACCAATACGTAGATGATATCAACTTGACAAACATTGATGCTTCCTGTTTCTGATTTAATCACAAAAGGTATAAGGGTAATACATAAGTTCTCTGACTTAGCAAAGCACGTGTGATATAATAACAAGACAAAAACAAGGTTTTTTTAAAGTGAGACATATGCTTAATTTTTGAGAAATCGAAACATGTAATGATTGAAGTATTGTCATTTTGTGGCCAAGTGATTGAGGTCCTTGACATCAAACCACTTGACCCTAACCGCTGTGGGTTCGGGTCCCAACATGATTTTTTTATTTTTTCAAGTGAGGAATATATCCAGCTTAGTAACGTAACGTCGTAAGTTAACTCAATATACTACTTAGGTGACCGTTTTTTTGCCTAAAATTATGCACGGAAGGGCATCTGAGGTCTTCCTTCACCAGTAAAGCTGGTAGGTAACCTTAAACCATTCATTCCATCCACTCTCCATGAATATCGTTTATTTCATGCAGTCTTCGGCTATTTCATTACGTCCATGACATGATGTCTTGTATCTTGTTTCAGGTTCCAAAATCATACTAATTTGCTATATACAAGATCTATCTTTTGTACCTTTTGCTGTACCAGCAATTGGTATAATTATAGTGCATGAGTATTTTGTATTGAAGTCAAAATACTACTTTATTTATATTTTCCTACCTATACGATACATAACTTTACGTTCAAAACTAATTTTCAGCTGTTCAATATCTAACATGCTCTTAATCCATTATTAAAAGTTTATGGAACTCAAATTTGACATATATAAAGAATAAAGAAAATATTGAAATGTGCTTAATGTGAAGTAATTAATGGATTGTTAATAGCTATAAATTTCCCAACAGTTTTAAATGCTTTTCCGCATAACTATGTTCCTATTAAACTTTATTTGCTTATCTTAAGAACTACAAACATAATACGAAAAGCACTTATTAACAAATATGCTATGATTGTACTTTTTTAACTTCCCACATGTTGTTAAATTTGTGGTACATAAGACTGATGTTTCTTGTGCCTCCCTCATACTAGACCCTCTTCCTCTTTATTTAAACTTCTTCGCATTGTAAGATAACGTTTGTCACTTTAACCATAGAAAATGAGAATTTCATATTGTAAACTCTTCCTTTTGAATTACCTACTTATATGTGCAAAGTCGGAGGAACCGCATTGTTCAAAATATAATTTCGAAGAGAAAGTGTTAGAGAAAATGGTTCGCATGGAATTTCAAATGGAGCGAATGAAATCTGAAATGGAACAAACAGTGAAAAGTGTTGACCGGAAACTGAATGAAATGGTTGGAAAAGAGAGAATGAAATCTGAAATGGAAAGAACAGCAACAAGCGTTGATACAAATTTTAAGGTACTGCAAATTTTAAAAGGTAAAGTTAATTAGTCATATGAATTTTAGTTCATTCCAGCACATACCAATACTATTTAGTTAATAGTTTATGTCTAAACATATTGTAAGTGGCAATATGCCCATCAAAGTATAATGCTTTGTGAAAGGGTTGATACAAAAATAACTTGACATTTTGTCAATATTGTGCTTGATTATAAATTTTACAATGAAAAAATAATTATTATTCCATGAGGAAAACGAAAATTTCTATACATATCGTTCCGAATATATTAGTTAAGTCAATTTTTAATAAAATTGGACAGTCTTGTAATGATTTAAGTAATTCTTTTAATCTTGAATCATACTATAAAAAATTTACCATAATCACTTGTTGATCAATCAAAATTATATTAGCATATCTTCTGAATATGTATTACTTAACTCAACTTGACATTTAAAAATTAGCAGTGTCACTTTAATTCTTTACCTATGGCCGTTTGACTTATTGAAGTTTCCAAAGCATGATTAACGTGTTCTGTAATTTCAATTACCGTCTTCTCCAAACCGACATGAATTGTCAATTTCAGTAAATGTATTGTTTTCTTTTGATTTTTGATTTTTTAAGTTTACACGGCTTTTTTTCTGAATATTACCTGTTAAACAACATATCAATGGTTTTAAAATTAAAGAAAAATTGCTACCGTCTTCGTTAGTAAAGTTCCATTGTTATAGCGACATTGTCGAATGTTTTAATTATTGATAGAAGTGCAAATAATTCATGTAATCATCTTTTTATTAACCATTAGGTAATTTATGTGAATACAGATGGTAAGTAAAAACAGGAGTGGTCAATCTTACAGCCCTTTGTTATATCATAAAGCGTAAAGTTTGTTATTTTTAGACGTGTTTTTCACCATAATTATTATGTAGTCGCCACTTCAACAACAGTATCTTCGGAATAAGATACTTAATTATTTAAATGTAGCGGCCCGTGATATTTTGTTTTATTTTTCTTCACATTAAAGTTAACACAGTTCAATTTTTCAGTTTTATTTTTCTACCTTTTAAACATCTATATTTTCAAATTATCCAACATTTCTTATAATTTTCGGTGTTCTTCTACACATTTTTTTTTTCAAACTATGATAATTCAAGATTACGTCCAAAGTAAATCTTAACAAATTGTAAACATCGAAAACTTGATGATAATGCTAGGAAATGACATGACCAGTAAAAATCTCTCCCGCGATTAGCGACAATAGATACCTGTGCCAATAAAGACAAGACACCTTGCCACAATTGTCGCATTGAGTTGAAATACATAGTATTTGAAAAGTTGATATATATGTCACAGTTTCATCTTGCAGTGTTTGTTATAAGGGTGACCATGGAAACCCACTCCGCCGTTAATAAATTTCAACAAAATTTTGTTTTTGCGAACAAGCAATAAATTAAATTAGATGCATAACTAGTTATTTATATTCTAATCAAGATTTGGTCAAATGTATATGGCCGATTAACAATTCGTCGAAGAGAACACACATTTAATAACTTTTATTTATGTCTCTGTCATCGACATATCATTTTATGAATCTTATTTAAGACCCGCTTTCAGATCAGATTGTGACACCAACTGTGGCATTCAAGGCTAGACTAAATGCTCACACTGCCGCTCCTGTAAGTCAAGTTATAGTGTTTCCTGTAGTACTCTTCAATGAAGGAGATGCCTATAACAGTAAGACAGGGAAATTTACGGCCACAACAAATAGATCATATCTTTTTACTATAGAATTTTGTGTCCTACAAAACAAATATTTGTACGTGGATATAATGGTTGATGGTGTAGCATACACTAAGACAAACATTGAAGACAACGATAATCTCGACTGTCAAACAGCTGACACTGTCGCTGTGTTAAAAGCTGGACAGAGCGTGTGGGTTCAGCCGTCTGCTAGTGACTCTGGTAATATAATCCGACATCATTCTTTACACTATTGGAACACATTTTCCGGAGTTTTACTCCATAAATAAATACATTATTTACTGCTTATGATTTTACACGAGTTGTAATATTATTATTAAATATTATCAAACATATTGATGAAACAAATGCAAAATGGTTCTATGGATAGTTATTAAACCCTTTCCATTCATGAACTAGTTTAAGGACATTTGATATTATTTACTTGGTATAATTAATAAATACAATGTCACAATGTTTCATTACTGTGTTATCTCACTAATGGTAAATAAAGGATCAGATTAATTAACATCATTGTACTCAATATGAAGATATATTTGGACGAGTAACCATGTAGCCGGATGGAATTCAGAACTCTAGATACGAACTCACAACGGTTCCAAGCTACTGCTTAAAAGAAAATAACATAAACTTTGGCTTTTATTAACATGTCGCTTTTGCATGAAAATTATTGATTTGCACACAAAAGTAAATCCTTTTGATTAAATATATGTTTAAAAATGCATGCATCTTATTACTGCTGGCTCTGCGTACTCATCGGGGTAATGTCAACAATTATAGATATGATTACAAGGCGCTACCTATGAATAGGGCAGATTGGACTTAACTCTACCCCTTTTTAATTACAGTTTTATATGACATGTGTATACGTCTATTTAAAAGTAATAATACAACCCTTGTTATACTTCAATTTATCAAAGATCAGGCAAGAACAGAAAGCCCTTTTCATTTTTTCTCGTTTACGCAAGAACTTGTCATATTTAGTATATATAATAGTTTGTTTTAAATGTCCTTTTTTCGATAAAGATCATATTTGGTATATAACATTTTGTTTTATATGCATGTTTTTTAAGGTAAAGGTCGTATTTAGTATGTAACAGTTTATTTATACGTTTGCTTTTTATAAAAGATAAACGGCATATTAAGTCTTAGTAACTTGATTTTAAATGAAAGATTACAGTCATGTTTTATTTTACTTACTTTTTTCTTTCTTAAATTAGAATAACGTTTCTTTAATAATCTTTTCTGATAACTGTATGATTTATAATGTAAAAATAGCATTTTGTTATTTACTTTTCTTTTTTCTGTTTTTTGTTCACACTGTACTTTGGATTTGTATAGACTATAAACATTGTTTTAACATGTTTAATACTGAATAAAATTTTCGTATTCGTATATTTAAATTTAAATGTATGTTGTTTCCAAAAATAAAGGTCATATTTAGTATACAATAGTTTGTTTTTCGTATGTGTGTTTATATCAAATATTAAGGTCAAAATCAAAGGTCATATTTGGTAAAACATTAAGCTTTATTTGTACTTGTTGACCCATTACCATGATTACCGGGCATAACAAGCAGTTCTATCAATTCATAATATATTTACGTATAATGTGCCTAAAGATAGGATGTAAGATCGTTCCCATTATCTAAAGTGTAAACTATCTTATAGCTGTCTAATTGCACATGCCCAAGCATTAGACAATTGAAATAAAACAACTTCACATATTTTAAATGAGATAAGTCTTTGCATAACAACTCTACGCCCAATGAATCCCATATATACCATCAGAGTTAATTCCCTTATCTCTAAGAACAGTAATAGAAAATACTGTACTGGCGTTACAAACATTGGCAAATATTAAATGCATTAAGCATCAACGTTGCCGCATGTTTCGCTGTTTTCCTTTTCACATACATATATAGCAGACCACAACGAAATCTCAGATTTGCTTTTCTTATCTCTGAATTTCACTGAATGTACTGTGACCCAATGCACTTTGTTAGTCAAATATTTTCGGATCAGCCAGGTTTATTTGAAATTGGTACAGACGTGGTACGACAAGTTCTAGAAGACAACTCTGATTTGGCTGAATCTGACCGTATTCCTTGCTTAAAGGAAATGAGAAAAACGCACATAGGATAACGGATGGTGATGTAAATATTAAGCGAATGATAATATGTTTATATATATTTACTAATGTAGATATAATTTAAATAAAATAACAAAACAACAACCACAACAATATGACAACAAAAATCATTGCATCACTTGGCTAAAATCTTAAAATGTCAAATCACAAATAGTTTGAAAATAAAAAAGACTTAACTCAAAAATCTTTTATTTTTTCTACCTAACTTTAATGTGTTGACACTCTCCCTTATAAGGCATTAGCGACATTTGTGTTTTTCTGGTAGGTGGAAGAAAAACTTAAAGTTTCTTATATGCAATATTTCATGCAGGAGCTGGCAAGCAGAACCATCGACCTTCAAGAGTACAGAAGACATGAAATAGAGAAAGGACAAAAGCCATCTTATCTGTGTATAGATAAATACATTTATATTATAAGTTTAAATATTTTTGACAGGTTATATGGCCCTATATAAACGGTAGTTTATAATATATTATATTGCAAACCAACGTTTATGTACGGCCATATAAACTGTCAGACAGATTTATAACAAATTTATTATACTGCAAGCATCTTCTTTTTTAAAGAAAAGGTGATATTTCTTCATCGACAGCAGCCGTGTATATAAAAGTATATAAACGTCACGGTTATCCTTTGAAAAGCGACGTTATAAACGTGCACTATTATAATATGCATAAATATTTTCCTTTGTCCGTCAGTTAAAATTAAAGGATACTACAATGTTATAAACATGCACAAGAATGATTGGTATATACGGAAAATTCCAAGTTCAAGTCGAAGAATATTGGTCACCGGCTGTCGTTTCTGTGTAGTGAAGGGGAAGTAACTGCTGTATGACTACAAGACAAAGCAACTCGATTAACAACCCTTCGTAAGATATAATTTAATTTTGCCATATTACTAAGTTAGTTGATATTTTTTGGAGTAGTGCATAATACAGTTTTTCTCATATCCAAAAGTTACCCGGGTTCTTGCCGGTGCAGAACAGTTTTTTTATTCATACCTCATTGCCAAACTGGACATGCGAGAAAACACCAATATAACGAAACAATTAGTAAAGTGAAACCATGGTAATGCTATGAGCATATGTACAGTAGAATAAAAATAAAATTACTGTAATAGAATTAATACAATTGCATGTTTGAATTGGAGAATGTGATAGTTTTGTAATATTTAGAATATAAACACTGATAGTATATTAAATATGAGACCTGAGAAAATTCTCGATAGCTTCTTCACATGGACGGATTCATAGTCCCTGGCTGTATTCAAACCAACAGCGAGACTAAAAGTGAGATACATTTACCACTTGGTCATAGTGGCCCCATCAAAGCCATGATCCCTCTCAGCTTGCAAGATTTAGTATTAACCCTTTCATAGATGATTGATGATTTCAAATAATTTACTACTAAATGCAGCTAATATTTTCTATGTACAAGCAGGCTTATATCAAATGATTAATATTCTATATGTTTACAAGATATTAACTAAGATATAGGTCTGTTCAATTTTTTCGATTGTCACATAATACAACATTTAATACAACAGTAACAATAATATTACAACAACAACTTAACAACAATCATATATTATAAACGAGGCCTTGTCAAAACAATTGAATGTATATTGAATTGCATATCTCATCATACGTAGTAATTTATCGCAAATGAGAACATGTTTATACATGTATATATTAAGACAATCATATACAATTGTTAATAAGAACAATATAAAATAATCTGCCGGACTAATTTTGATGGATTAAATCAAAGATCATTAGAAAGTCAAATTCAACAGCCTTCCATTTTATCAAATTAATATATTAAAAGTCGCCTTATTTTGAACTGTTTATCTTGCAATTCACACTTTCTTTGACTAAGTATGTAAATACATAAGATGCCCCATTAACCATGTATTTCCTTCATTAGCTGGTAACTTAGTATAGTAGAACCTCCGATTTTCAAAAAGTATACTAAGCCATAATGAAATTAACTCAACAATTTCTGTACTTATTTGGGCGGGCAAGAAACAACAGAAATGGCCCACCTTACTGGTATCAGCCCTTTCCGTCAGTATTAGTATAAGAACCTCAAACACAATAGGATAAATACATACAACGTATATGGTATTTCGGTCTAACCTACGCTAAGAAACTTAAAATGTAAACAAATAGTAATTTAATGCTTGAAGATGTTGGCAAGTTTATTTCCAATGCATCAAGTAAAAGTTCATCTAAAATATACAAAACAAACAATACATTTTTATATATATATATTTAATGGTTGCAGAATCCAAAAGTACAAAATGCCAACCTGTTGACATTTAGCCGGATTTACTTTAATTGTACATCAGTGGGCATATTAAAATGTTTGTCAGACATATTTTCAATCATAATTGTATGAAACAGACTTCATTTTCCTTTAGGTAACAAATTTATGCATTCTTTTTACAGTATCAAAGATTACAGTCTCTAGTTCTGTTTACATTTGAAATAACGTGGTAGAACTACTTATAATCCGTTTAAACAACAAAGTTATTGGAGAGGTCACAAGACATCGAATATGGATGATCTCCGGTCAAAAACAAGGTTACAGGAGCTAAAAATAGATAAATCTGGTTAACACTCTAATGGCTACTGTTTTGATCCATATATCCTGGAAATCGGTCAGAATGTTTGTTTTGATGATTTCTTGGTCAAGCTTAAATATGGGGCATCTGGGGTCAAAAACTAGGTCACACCACCAAAATATGGAATAAACCTTGTTAATATTATAATGTTCACATTTTAATTCAGTTGTTATTAAACTTGGTCAGGATGCTTGTCTAGTTGATTGCTTAAAGGAGTTCGAACATGGGTCATCTCTGATGAAAAACTATGTCACAGGAGCTAAAGATAGAAAAATCATGTTCACTCTCTAATGGCTACTGATGTAATTCAAATATACTGGAAATTGGTTTGCATGTTTGTTAAGATGATTTCTATATCAAGTTTGAATATGGGTTACCTTGGGTCAAAAACAAGGTCACTCTGTCCAAATATGGAAAAACCTTGTAAACCCTTTACCTCGTTGAAAAGTCCGATGTTACAAGTTCAAACTGCTATGAAAAAAGTTCAATA